GTCCCTGACATCCTTGGAGAGCTCTTTGGTCTCGGCCATGGTGGAGAGTTTGGATTCTGATTGATTGATTGCTTCTGTGGACAGGTGTCTTTTATACAGGTAACAAACTGAGATTAGGAGCACTCCCTTTAAGAGTGTGCTCCTAATCTCAGCTCGTTACCTGTATAAAAGACACCTGGGAGCCAGAAATCTTTCTGATTGAGAGGGGGTCAAATACTTTTTTCCCTTATTAAAATGCAAATCAATTTATAACATTTTTGACATGCGTTTTTCTGGATTTTGTTGTTGTTATTCTGTCTCTCACTGTTCAAATAAACCTACCATTAAAATTATAGACTGATCATTTCTTTGTCAGTGGGCAAACGTACAAAATCAGCAGGGAATCAAATACTTTTTTCCCTCACTGTAGTATTTATAAGCTGGAAGGAGAGGCCTAAGCGTTGTTGTTCACTAGTTTACTCCAATTAGTTAAGGGGTGGTGGGGCATGTATGTATATGTATGTATACGTATTTATATGTATGTATGTGTATATGTATGTGTATGTATGTATGTATATATATATATATATATATATATATATATATTTTTGCGAAGTGATGCAGACAATTACATTGATGGAAGTTACAATCTATCTGCAATATTAAAGCTGATCTACCCCCTTAAGAAAAAAAAAAAAAACATTTGAATTAATTTTAACCATTTTACAATCAATAATTTCAAACCTCACTACATTACATTACACATAATTCAAAAGCCCATTTCATAGAGAATGTTACAAACTGGACTCTATTTAGTAACTTACTTTGAAGAGATGGTAATTGGGTCTAAATGAGCAGAGTGTCCTGTCCTTTGGTCTGGTATGCGTGTTTGGAAACATGCAAGTGCAAGACCATTTCAAGCTTCACCGCTTGCTCAAGATGGTGGGAAGGATAATTGGTATAGATCAAGAATCAGCCACCAACCTGTACACAAAACTCATCCTCCTAAAACTTGAAAGTACTTTACAGGACAGTACTCATCCCCTTCACTCAAAACTCAGTTACAGCAGCAGCCGGACAAGGGAAAATAAACTTCTTAAAAATAAAATCAAAACAGATAGATATGGGGACTCTTTTCTTCCAACAGCCATTAGGCTTTATAATAGATAGTCTGTTGGTCCCTCGAGTATACAGCATATTGCACTTTCACTTTAAATGTGTAGCTGTAGCACTTTTAATTAATTATATTGTGTAGTTTCTGTGTTTTCATGTTTTCATGTTTTATGTACAGTCTTTTTAAGCACATGACCAAATGAATTTTCCCCTGGTGGGATAATAAAGTTGATCTGAATCTTAATCTGAATATGTTTGGTTGTCTAAATTCAGTGTCCTTGTCTTTAACTGCCATTTCCCTAAAATCTGACTCGTCCCACACGCTAACACATTTTGCTCAGCTTCAGTAGCATCTGCATCACCAAAATGTGTGTGGTTATCGATAGATACAGTGGGGAAAAAAAGTATTTAGTCAGCCACCAATTGTGCAAGTTCTCCCACTTAAAAAGATGAGAGAGGCCTGTAATTTTCATCATAGGTACACGTCAACTATGACAGACAATTTGAGAGAAAAAAAATCCAGAAAATCACATTGTAGGATTTTTAATGAATTTATTTGCAAATTATGGTGGAAAATAAGTATTTGGTCACCTACAAACAAGCAAGATTTCTGGCTCTCACGGACCTGTAACTTCTTCTTTAAGAGGCTCCTCTGTCCTCCACTCGTTACCTGTATTAATGGCACCTGTTTGAACTTGTTATCAGTATAAAAGACACCTGTCCACAACCTCAAACAGTCACACTCCAAACTCCACTATGGCCAAGACCAAAGAGCTGTCAAAGGACACAAGAAACAAAATTGTAGACCTGCACCAGGCTGGGAAGACTGAATCTGCAATAGGTAAGCAGCTTGGTTTGAAGAAATCAACTGTGGGAGAAATTATTAGGAAATGGAAGACATACAAGACCACTGATAATCTCCCTTGATCTGGGGCTCCACGCAAGATCTCACCCCGTGGGGTCAAAATGATCACAAGAACGGTGAGCAAAAATCCCAGAACCACACGGGGGGACCTAGTGAATGACCTGCAGAGAGCTGGGACCAAAGTAACAAAGCCTACCATCAGTAACACACTACGCCGCCAGGGACTCAAATCCTGCAGTGCAAGACGTGTCCCCCTGCTTAAGCCAGTACATGTCCAGGCCCGTCTGAAGTTTGCTAGAGTGCATTTGGATGATCCAGAAGAGGATTGGGAGAATGTCATATGGTCAGATGAAACCAAAATATAACTTTTTGGTAAAAACTCAACTCGTCGTGTTTGGAGGACAAAGAATGCTGAGTTGCATCCAAAGAACACCATACCTACTGTGAAGCATGGGGGTGGAAACATCATGCTGTGGGGCTGTTTTTCTGCAAAGGGACCAGGACAACTGATCCGTGTAAAGGAAAGAATGAATGGGGCCATGTATCGTGAGATTTTGAGTGAAAACCTCCTTCCATCAGCAAGGGCATTGAAGATGAAACGTGGCTGGGTCTTTCAGCATGACAATGATCCCAAACACACCGCCCGGGCAACGAAGGAGTGGCTTCGTACGAAGCATTTCAAGGTCCTGGAGTGGCCTAGCCAGTCTCCAGATCTCAACCCCATAGAAAATCTTTGGAGGGAGTTGAAAGTCCATGTTGCCCAGCGACAGCCCTAAAACATCACTGCTCTAGAGGAGATTTGCATGGAGGAATGGGCCAAAATACCAGCAACAGTGTGTGAAAACCTTGTGAAGACTTACAGAAAACGTTTGACCTGTGTCATTGCCAACAAAGGGTATATAACAAAGTATTGAGAAACTTTTATTATTGACCAAATACTAATTTTCCACCATAATTTGCAAATAAATTCATTAAAAATTCTACAATGTGATTTTCTGGATTTTTTTTCCTCATTTTGTCTGTCATAGTTGACGTGTACCTATGATGAAAATTACAGGCCTCTCTCATCTTTTTAAGTGGGAGAACTTGCACAATTGGTGACTGACTAAATACTTTTTTTCCCCACTGTATATTCTCCAGACTTGCCCAGAGGGAATTGTTGATATGTTGTAAATGTGTTATTCTAGATCAAATGTTCTTTGGAAAAATGCATCTTTTGTCTTTAGTATTTTACAGATAGAAAGATGAAATCCACAATCCGCTCTGGACAAGTCCAGTCATGGAGTGTATTTTTCATGTGTATTTTACCCCCTTTTTCGTGATATCCAATTGCGACCTTGTCTCATCGCTACAGCTCCCCATCCGGCTCGGGAGAGGCGAAGGTCAAGTCATTCAACACCCACCCGTTTAACCCGGAAGCCAGCTGCACCAATGTTTTGGAAGAAACACTGTTCAACTGACGACCGAAGTCAGCCTGCAGGCACTAGAGCACAATGAGCCAAGTAAATCCCCCCCCCCCACCACCCGCCAAACCCTCCCCTAACCCGGACGACGCTGGGCCAATTGTGCGCCGCCCTATGGGACTCCCGGTCGGTTGTGACACAGCCTGGGATCGAACGCTGGTCTGTAGTGACGCCTTAGACTGTTGCGTCACTCGGGAGGCCTATGGTCCTGTAGTGTCTTAACAAAATGATACCAAAATATTTAGGCTGACTTCATCCAGTGTCCAGAAACATTTATTTGCGCGATATGCAAATATGTGCATATTTAATGAGATATCACCTACTTTGCATAATTTAATAAAATATTTCATTCAACTGGTAAAAGTTTATTGTGAGGCCTTCCGAGTGGCGCAGCGGACTAAGGAAATGTATTGCATTGCTTGAGGCGTCACTACAGACCCGGGTTCATTCCCAGGCTGTGTCATAACCAGCCGTGACCGGGAGTCCCATAGGGCGGCACACAATTGGCCCAGCGTCGTTAGGGTAAAATACAAAAAATAAAAACATGTTTATTGTGATATGATTTAGGGAAAAAATTACCCAATGAGGGTGTGGTGCCTGGCTGTACAATTTGGTATCTTTTTTTCAGAGAGTGTGTGTTGTCTATACCGTATTGGAGGGACAATGAGATAGATGGGATGAGGGAGGGGATGTTGGGTTGGTTGGCTCTGCCTCTTCATGTGGTTGTAGTGGTTCTGTTTCCAATATTAAGTGGGCCCGAGCTGGGCGTTTTGTAAGCAATGCAATTTAAGCCAGACCTTTTCTCAAATGTCAGTGACGCTCTCCAGACCAATCAATAGCTGGATACACAGAGCAGGGGGTCACAATCAAATGCCACGCTGTTGTGTATGCTCTCCCCACTGAAATGAATATAAGCTATATGTGGTAGCGGACTACTACTTCTGGGCCAAAACACAACAAGGAGAAGAAGAGAGGGAGAGGGGGAAGAAGGAGGGAACGGGGAAAGAAGGGAGACGGAGAAGAAACTGCATATTTGATCTGTTCTTGGAGGTCGTCCAACAATGTCATTTAGCCTGCTCCACTACACGTGTTCCACCACTAGCCATCGCAATCAATAGCCATCACACACACGGAGGCCCCTGGCCTATCAGTCAATGGAGGATCCCTGTGAGCTGACACTCTGTAGACAGAGACCATGGGCTCTTTGTACCAATACAGGAGACAGCTCAGTATCATGGAGATAAAGCTATTGGACCTGGGCCAGAGGAGTGATCTCATGGTAAACAACGCCTGAGCTTGATGGAAAAGAGGGTTTAAAGTGTATCAACATTTGATTGGGACTGTCAGAATATCATCAAATCAAATCACATTTTATTTGTCACATGCTTCGTAAACAACAGGTGTAGACTAACAGTAAAATGCTCACTTAGGCCCAGTCTGAGATGACATGTGAGTGAGAATCTTAAAATGACAGTGGGACATACAGTGGATTTGATTCCAGCCTGGACCACATATACTAATTTATATGTACTTACTATCATGTTAAATACATTGATACTGTACAAAAACATTGACGTACCTTGTTGTTTGCTGGCGGCTGCCTTCTGTCCAGGTGAGTAGAAGGCAGACAGGGCACTGAGGGAGCTGACCAGCTGGCTCTGGATGGAGCTCATCTTAGACAGCCCTGACTTCCCCGCTGCCTTCCCCGCTGAAGGCTTCCCCGTGGCGGGCATACCCTGCCCCTCTGCAGGCTTTTGGGCACTCGGGCTGGGGGTCTCCTGCTTGTCTGGCTTGTCCTGGCTGCCACCCAGCTGGGCCCACTGCTCATTGATCAGCCCTGTGAGGCGCGTCACCACCTGGCCCAGGGCTGGGTTAGACCCCTGGCGAGGGGCCTGAGCCTGGGCCTTCACTGGGTTGGACCCGCAACTAGGGTTCTGTGACTGGGGCTGGGCCTGCTCAGACTCCTTCTGACCCATCTGGGTCTGGCTGGAAGAGGGAGTGGGTGCTACTGCTGTGCTCTCTGGGGCTGGAGATTCTATGACCGCACTTTCTGTGACCATACTCTCTGTAACTGTGGTCTTTACAACCTCGCTCTCGGTTTCCAAATTCTCTGTGACCGCACTCTCTATGACTGTACTCTCTGTGGTCGTACTCTGCGTAACCACACTTTCAGTCACTGTAATTTGTTCAACTACAGTCTCCTCTACTACCACTACTTGTCTCTTTGTTACCATACTTTCTGTGACTACATTCTCTGTGACCACATTCTCTGTGGCCACATTATCTGTGCCCACACTTTCTACAACCACAAAACTTACTGCACTCTCAGTGATATCACCATCTTTAACCACACTGCATGAGACTACACGTTCTGCTTCCTCAATTTCTGTGACCGCACTTTCTATGGCTGCACTTACTATGGCTGCACTCTCAATCTCTATTTCTGTATGTGGGTTATTGCTAGTCTCAACTCTGTCTCTCTCTGTCTCTGTCTGCTGATATGCACTCTGTGCCACCACTGTCTCTGTCACCTGGTCAACTGTACCCACTCTTTCTGTCTCTGTTCTCCTGTCCACACTGTTTAGCCCTATGTCTTGCTGGTCTCACTGGACGTACAGGTGCTGTCTGTGTTTGTGTCTCTGTCACCTGTTCTACACTGACTCCTGTCTGTGTCTCTGTCACTGTCACCTTGTTCATAGTATCCACTGTCTGTGTCTCTGTCCCCTGGTCCACACTGTTAGCCCTATGTCTCGCTGGTCTCACTGCACGTTCAGGTGCTGTCTCTGTCGTCTGATCTACACTGACTACTGTCTGCGTCACCTGGTCTAAACTGTCTCCAGGCGGTGTCTCTGTCACCTGGTCCACCGTATCCACTCTCTCTGTCTCTGTTCCCTGATCCACACTGTTAGCACGTGGTCTGACTGGACATACAACTACCATCTCTGTCTCTGTCACCTGGTCTTGAGTGTCAAACTGCTCCGTCTCCGTCCCCTGGTCCACAATATCAGCCGTCTTTCTGGTTAAACAGATGACTATCCTCTCTGTATCTGTGCCCTGCTCCACCATATCAGCCCTCTCTGTCTCTGTCTCCTGACTTACACTTCCCACTCGCTCTGTCTCGGTCTGCTGGTCCACACTGGTCCTCCTACTTGTCTGTCTCTCCCCGGACACCTCCTCCGCTCCTCCTATTCCTCCTTCGCTCAGCTGTAGTATCCTCTCCTCCTTCATCCTATTCTCCTCTACCTGTTGTCTCAGGAGACTGTTCGTTCTATCCAGGTCTTCGCTAGCCTGACTTAGCTTAGCCTCTAGCGCTACTAGCTTAGCCTGGAGCTGTTTGATACTATGAAGGTCCCCCTCACCACTGACACTGACTCCCTCTATGACTTGCACAAACACTCTACTGTCTAAAGGTTCTGGTGCTTTCAGTATTGTAACGTTCTCTGATTGCTCTGTTTGCCTTTCCGCTGTGTGCGCTAATGGATTCACAAATGCTGTTTGTCTATCTGGTCCCTCTGATGTCTGTGCCTGTCTCTCTGGTTCCTGTGCTGCTAAAAGCCTATCTGGTTCTCCTTCTTGTGCGGTACTCTTTAAGGATTCCTGTTGCATTTCTGTCTCTGACGCGGTGCTCTCTGCTCTCCCGGGATCCACTGCTGCTCCAGCACCCGGCAGCTGAGAGGCTGGCCCAGGATCAGTGCTTGGGGCTGGGGAGGGCGAGGCACTTTGTGGGGGGTGTGGAGGCTGGGGTTTGGTTTGGTCCTGCAGCCTGAGGATTAGCTGCTCTCTCTCCACCCTCAGTGAGCAGATCTGGGACTTGAGCTCTGGGATGGTCCTCACCATGTCCTCCAGCTCTCTGACCCTCTTCAGGGCTGTGGTGATCTGCTGGTGCAGCCCCAATCGGTCCTGGGGCACAGCGCAGACCACGTTCTCAGATGAGCCGTTCTCCGTTCTTTCGTCCCCAGACTCAGAGTCCTTCCTGTGCGGGATGGTGACTGGCATGCTAGACGTCCGGAGGAGGTTGGGCCTCCACAGGAGCTGTTCGCCTAACACCCGAGCCCCAGCACCTGCCTCCTCACTGGGCCTGGCAGAGGCTAAGCTACCCCCCTGCACCCTGCTGTTCTGGCTATGACCCCCCGGTGTGCCACTACCTCCATCACTGTGTCTAAAATCCAAGATCTGCTGGACCTCGGTGACTCTGCCCCGGGGCTTGGGCCCTAGGGTGGAGGTGGAGGACCAGGTGTCCTTAGGGGCTGGCCAGGCTCCATGCCCAAGCAGGCTGAAGTTCCTGGGCAGGGTGCTGAACTTAGGAGGGCACCTGGCCTTGCGCTGGATGTGCACCCTCTTGATGGTGTTGCCTTTCTCGATATCGTCCACATACTTGAGGAAATCAAGGTCCAGGTGGAAGCCGTAGGGGGTCTCTACGGAGTAGGGCAGCTGCTTCCTCTGACTCCCATCTCCACTCTCTGCCCCAGCTCTAGGGTAGCCATTTGCTGAAACATGAAGACAGGGTTTTTAGTTTTCACAGTCATCCCCATGCATACAGGGACATGCTGTACAGTACTGTCCGGCCTTGAGCAAAACATGAAGCTCATCCCGGGGGGGGGGGCACCATAGCCACGGGATGTCGTTCGGGGGTGGGGGTGCTTCGATTTTTGGGGGATGAAGATTTTTTTTTTTCCTGCGCTGAAGACATCTGTATTGGTCTGCTAATACAGGACTAGTGAAGGCCCAGTGCACTACTTTTGTGAAAAAATGTAAACTAAATGTATTTGAGTGTTTACCAGCATTTGTAACTTGAGTCTGATAATTATCTGTACAAAACAGTTAATCTGATAATACTTGTGGAATACAAAAATACTGTTTTCCAGTTTCTTGAAATACTTTGCGAATTAAACTTATTTCTATGTGAAAACTGAAATGGTCTATTCATTCCTGTTTAGTAGACGCTCTCATCGAGAGTATTGAGTGCATACATTTTCTTACTTGTCCCCATGGGAATAAAACCCACAACCCTGGGGTTGCAAGCGCCATGCTCTACCAACTGAGCTAAATGGGACCTTGGTACAAACCTAGATGACCAGCCTATGTACAATACAGTAATGTAAATTTACATTAAGTGGTTTGTAAGGATGGTAAATTAATACTGCACAAAAAAGTGGTTGTTTTCCATGTTATTTTATCAAGAAAAATATTTAATTTGATGTTTTGTGTCTTTGCCCATAACTTTTCACCTTTTGATGTAAATGTTTGAGGACAGGGTTTTGTTCTTTCTGGATACCATTAGAATGACAATCGCAGAGAAATGGTACAGGGCAACAACTCTTACAATTACCTTTTTTTGCCAAAGTGGAGAAGCTGAAAAAAATGTTTTGCTCGTGCTACAGACATCTATATCGGTCCACTAATACTAGTAAAGGCCCAGCGCACTATTGTGAAATTATTTTTTATTCTTATTTTTCAAGGGATGCTGCAGCACCCTCATCACCCCTACTTCCCTGGCTATGGGTGATATACAGTGAACTCCAAAAGTATTGGGACAGTGACACAGATTTGTTGTTTTGGCTCTGTACTCCAGCACTTTGGATTAGAGATGATACTATGACTATGAGGCTAAAGGGCAGCCTGTCAGCTGTAATTTGAGGGTATATTCATCCATATTGTGTGAACCGTTTAGCATTTACAGTACTTTTTGTACATTGTCCCCCCATTTTACGGGACCAAAAGGATTGGGACAAATTCATTTATATGTATATTAAAGTAGTATAAAGTTAATTATTTGGTCCAATATTCCTAGCACGCAATGACTACATTAAACCTGTGACTGTATAAACTTGTTGGATGCATTTGCTGTTTGTTTTGGTTGTGTTTCAGATAATTTTGTGCCCAGTAGAAATGAATGGTAAATAATGTATTGTGTCATTTTGGAGTCACGTTTATTGTAAATAAGAATTTAACACTTCTACATTAATGTGGATGCTATGGATAATCCTGAATGAATCGTGAATAATGATGAGTGAGAAAGTAACAGACGCACAAATATCATACCCCCCCCCCCCCCCCCCAACACCCCCCCAAAAAATGCTGGACTTCAAGTCATATATCATATTATCAAAGAGGATCATTTCACATACCTAGCATATTTATGACTGTCTGAGAAGAGCAAGCCACTATCTGGGTATGTATTATTGGCTGTCTGATGATTGTTGATGATTTATACTGGTAAAGCCAAAAGGAACTGCTAGTTGGTTTTTTATATTTGTACATAATTCCCTGCTCGGTGACGTGGATGCGGGGGAGGGTATTCGTGGCAGGTGTGCCTTCTACCCATCTCTAGGCAAGGTACGGCAGGTTCGAGAGTGTCGCCTTTCATTCCGGGTCCTTCACACAGACAATGCTGAGTAGTTGAGCACGACAAACAACTCTCACAAACCACAACCAGTATGTGTCATTGAACTGTGAGTACAAACTTTTTATCTTATAGAAGAGGATAAGAAGAGGACTCCCTCATCATTGTTTGTTTTTTATAGTTGATATTGGTCGCTAATGGCTGTGAAATGGCACCCCAATGGTGGAACAAGCTCCCTCACGACGCCAGGACAGCGGAGTCACTCACCACCTTCCGGAGACACTTGAAACCACACCTCTTTAAGGAATACCTGGGATAGGATAAAGTAATCCTTCTACCCCCCCTTACCCCACCCCAAAAAATAAAATAAAAATAATTGTAAAGTGGTTGTCCCACTGCCTATCATAAGGTGAATGCACCAATTTGTAAGTCGCTCTGGATAAGAGCGTCTGCTAAATGACGAAAATGTAAAATGTAAATGCTATCGGCTCAGTCAAACAGCCATTTTGAGTCCCTTGATTTGTTCTCTTTGGTACTTGTAGTGTTAATGGTCACGTTAATAGTTGTTGTGCTTTTTGTGCATTGCCTTTTATGCTAACTAGGTGCTTTATTGCTAGGCTTCCTACTTTTGTTAGTTTTTATGGTTTGCTTGCCATGCTATGTAGACATTGATAAATTAGCCTGCTATTAGCCTGCTATATCTTCCTATCTCCTGAGTGGCGCAGTGGTCTAAGGCACTGCATTGCAGTGCTAACTGTGCCACTAGAGATCCTGGTTCGAATCCAGGCTCTGTCGCCGCCGCGACCGGGAGACTCATGGGCGGCGCACAAGTCGTCCAGGGTAGGGGAGGGAATGGCCGGCAGGGATGTAGCTCAGTTGATAGAGCATGGCGTTTGCAACGGCAGGGTTGTGGGTTCGATTCCCACGGGGGGCCAGTATAAAAAAAATATGTATTCACTAACTGTAAGTCGCTCTGGATAAGAGCGTCTGCTAAATGACTAAAATGTAAATGTAATATCTTTGTCCTACCATGCCGCATGCTATTGCACCCCCTTTCTGGCCATTAATTGTTAACTGCTGCTATATTTATGCATGACTACCCATTTATATGCTTATTTCATTTGTCAATGATTGTCAATGATTAACAGCCAACTTAATGATGTATGTTCATTGCTGTTATTGCCCGTTATTATTTGCACCTTTGTCTCCTTTTAGATAAACCATACTGCATACAAAGCCTACAGTGTGGGAAAAAAGTATTAGATCCCCTGCTGATTTTGTACATTTGCCCACTGACAAAGAAATGATCAGTCTATAATTTTAATGGTAGGTTTATTTGAACAGTGAGAGACCGAATAACAACAAAAGAATCCTGAAAAACACATGTCAAAAATGTTATAAATTGATTTGCATTTTAATGAGGGAAATAAGTATTTGACCCCCTCTCAATCAGAAAGATTTCTGGCTCCCAGGTGTCTTTTATAGAGGTAACGAGCTGAGATTAGGAGCACACTCTTAAAGGGAGTGCTCCTAATCTCAGCTTGTTACCTGTATAAAAGACACCTGTCCATAGAAGCATTCAATCAATCAGATTCCAAACTCTCCACCATGGCCAAGACCAAACAGCTCTCCAAGGATGTCAGGGACAAGATTGTAGACCTACACAAGGCTGGAATGGGCTACAAGACCATCGCCAAGCAGCTTGGTGAGAAAGTGACAACAGTTGGTGCGATTATTCGTAAATGGAAGAAACACAAAAGAACTGTCAATCTCCCTCGGCCCGGGGCTCCATGCAAGATCTCACCTCATGGAGTTGCAATGATCATGAGAACGGTGAGGAATCAGCCCAGAATTACACGGGAGGATCTTGTCAATGATCTCAAGGCAGTTGGGACCATAGTCACCAAGAAAACAATTGGTAACACACTACGCCGTGAAGGACTGAAATCCTGCAGCGCCTGCAAGGTTCCACTGCTCAAGAAAGCACATATACAGGCCCGTCTGAAGTTTGCCAATGAACATCTGAATGATTCAGAGGAGAACTGGGTGAAAGTGTTGTGGTCAGATGAGACCAAAATCGAGCTCTTTGGCATCAACTCAACTCGCCATGTTTGGAGGAGGAGGAATGCTGCCTATGACCCCAAGAACACCATCCCCACCGTCAAACATGGAGGTGGAAACATTATGCTTTGGGGGTGTTTTTCTGCTAAGGGGACAGGACAACTTCACCGCATCAAAGGGACGATGGACAGGGCAATGTACCGTCAAATCTTGGGTGAGAACCTCCTTCCCTCAGCCAGGGCATTGAAAATGGGTCGTGGATGGGTATTCCAGCATGACAATGACCCAAAACACACGGCCAAGGCAACAAAGGAGTGGCTCAAGAAGAAGCACATTAAGGTCCTGGAGTGGCCTAGCCAGTCTCCAGACCTTAATCCCATAGAAAATCTGTGGAGGGAGCTGAAGGTTTGAGTTGCCAAACGTCAGCCTCGAAACCTTAATGACTTGGAGAAGATCTGCAAAGAGGAGTGGGACAAAATCCCTCCTGTGATGTGTGCAAACCTGGTGGCCAACTACAAGAAACGTCTGACCTCTGTGATTGCCAAAAAGGGTTTTGCCACCAAGTACTAAGTCATGTTTTGCAGAGGGGTCAAATACTTATTTCCCTCATTAAAATGCAAATCAATTTATAACATTTTTGACATGCGTTTTTCTGGATTTTTTTGTTGTTATTCTGTCTCTCACTGTTCAAATAAACCTACCATTAAAATGATAGACTGATCATGTCTTTGTCAGTGGGCAAACATACAAAATCAGCAGGGGATCAAATACTTAATTCCCTCACTGTACCAAGTCTCAATTCAAGACGAGTCGCATGTCAACAACTGTCACTCATTCCCTGCCATTTATCATCTCCATTACCTGAATCTATAAACACTCTTAATCTGAACTACATCTCTGCCTCCGCCTGTTCTTTAACTGGAGTCCCACAGTAGACCGGCATCACCATAACCCTCACCTAAACCTCAATCAATTACAATCTTGCAGGAAATGTATTAAAGCACTGTGTGTGTAACCATTTTAGAAGTACAGAAAGTAAAAAAGGAACCTCAGAGAAAATCTCTGGCATGATATCCCCAAGGACAGCACGTTCAAATCAAAATGGCATCGACAAAGCTAACTAGTAGTCTAATCGATCTAGAAATGCTAACAAACACTACATGATCGAGGGATACTACAGTGTGTAGTATTCTACACAGTATACAAAATATTTAGCCCAAAGGCCGGCAGATGGCGATATTGTCGTTTCATCTTACTGTCCAAAATATGCTTACTTTGAAACACCATTTTCCACCACCATGCTAGTGGCTAATGCAACTTCCTGATGTTGCGCCCCACGTTAAACCTGATTGGCTGAACGTTATAAGCAACCTCCGGGACTAGAATTCATAGGCATTAGCACTATAGCATGGTGGCAAATTTTCAGCCTGAATGGAGAATGTTATGGATACGAGTGTATTGCCGGCTACATACACTGCTTCTGGATGGTAAGATTTAGTGTTGTCACAATACCAGATTTTTGACTTTGATACCAATACCAGGATTAGGATCATAATACTCTATACCAAAACGATACTCAATACCAAAACGATACTCAATACCGAAACGATACCGCGGCAAAATAAAACGTATAGGCTAAAGTCACAGAATAACCACTGGGCTTATTTTTTTAAAACATTGAACAATGTTAACTGGTAGAACACATACAATGTCTTCTATTCTATAATCAATTTCTTGCTAAATAATCAAACATACCTTCAATTTTCCATATGCAAAACCATATAGGAGGCTCAGAGCAGACAAAATAATTGTACAATTACATCTAAACTGTTCTAAAATGTAATACATATCAGGGTTAATTTGCTGATCTATGGCCATAATATTTGGTCAAATGACATTAGACCTATAATTCATTACAGCTAACTCATTTCATGTATTAAATGAATAGTTTAGTTCCAAAACAACATACTTTGAAGCTCATTTCTGAAGCTATGAGACTCGAAATTGAGCTCAGGTGCATCCTGTTTCCATTGATCATCCTTGAGATGTTTATACAACTTGATTGGAGTCCACCTGTGTTAAATGTAATTGATTGGGCATGATTTGGAAAGGCACACAACTGTCTATATAAGGTCCCACAGTTGACAGTGCATGTCAGAGCAAAAACCAAGCTATGAGGTCGAAGGAATTGACCCTACAGCTCTGAGACAGGATTGTGTTGAGGCACAGATCTGGGGAAGGATACCAAAACATTTCTGCAGCACTGAAGGTCCCCAAGGACACAGTGGCCTCTATCATTCTTAAATGGAATAGGTTTGGAACCAGTAAGACTCTTCCTAGAGCTGGCCATCCGGCCAAACTGAGAATTCGGGGGAGAAGGGCCTTGGTCAGGGAGGTGACCAAGAACCCGATGGTCACTCTGACAGAGCTCTATTGTTACTCTGTGTAGATGGGAGAACCTTCCAGAAGGACAACCATCTCTGCAACACTCCACCAATCAGGCCTTTGTGGTAGAGTGGCCAGACGGAAGCCACTCCTCAGTAAAAGGCATATGACAGCCCGCTTGGAGTTTGCCAAAAGGCCCCTAAAGACTCTCAGACCAGGAGAAATCTGGCACCATCACTACGGTGAAGCATGGTGGTGGCAGCATCATGCTGTGGGGATGTTTTTCAGCGGCATGGTCTGGAGACTAGTCAGGATCGAGGCAAAGATGAATGGAGCAAAGTACAGA